TTTCTCTTTCAGTGAAAGGCCGCACATAGTATAACAGTATTGGATGCGGCTAAGGTAACCCTAGCATTCTCTTGTCAGGCTAAGGCTATTATGCCATTGATGACTCGATAGGAATTGATGGTGAGCTACATCGGGTTCAACTTATAGTAATGGAGGACTACTCAAAAAAGGATGTTGAGTGGGAGCCTAAGTCCACACTCGATAAAAGCTACAACAGGGAAAGACATAGATCAAGTTGTAGGCATGATGGAGTCATCCTCCCTAGCCAACCTCAGATGAACGTCAGCCGGGATGTCAAACTCCTGCCTAAAATGCTCTAATTTGGTCGGGGTGTTTACCCTGTGCTTTCACATTCCCATGACGTCGGCTTAGGGGGAAGGTGTATAAATTGGAAATTGTTTTGAAAAGGCTCAGAAGACCTCGGCAAGACCTAAAGTTCACGCTGGGGTAAGAATTTGTGAAGATCAAAGGGGGATTTGTTCCAGTTTTCCCTAAGATTCGTGTGTTCTATGGCAAATCCCAAACCTAAGTCTAAGCAAATGGAGATTGAACGCAAGAATCTGGAGAAAATGCAGAAAACATAAACAAAAGCAGTAATTCAGAGTCAAGAACAGTGATGGATCATCAAGAAACACAAGACAAAAGTTCGCGCAGGTATGTTAGGCCAAGAATAGTGGCAAAAATCAACAAAAGTGTGAACAGTGTGAATTCAGGAAATAAATGGGGCAAAAACAGATTCATGAAACAAACATATGGTGGAAAACAAGATACAAGTTGAAATATCAAAGATATGAGCAGGATTGTAGAGGTAGAGCAGTGGAGTTTAGTAAAGCAAGACAAACTGAAACAAAAAGTTAAAATCAGGAAGAAACAGTAACTCATCGAAGAAAAAAAGCCGGAGTTGAGTTTGCTGAAGTCAGACGAACTGCAACAGTGGAAAAGATTAGCAAGAGCCTCGCCGGAGGAGGTGAACGGCGAATGTAGCAGAGCTTGAGAGCTTCGAACAATGGAGGATTTGGGAAAGTAAGAGAGAGAGAAAGTTTGAACAAAAACGAAGATAAGTGAAGAGACGAAGAGAGAGGGAACGAGTTTTGTCAAAAAAAGAGTGAAGAGGCGGCAAAATGTAATTAAATGAGCCTGGAATAACGTATTTGTTAGACAGCGCACGCAGGCACGAGGCGATTTAATGGCGCGTATCAAACACGGTCCAATGGGTTAAAAACGCGTGGCTGAAATAGTTGAAATGTTATGCGTGACAGCTCATGTGCATGATAGACATCTTGGAGTTCTAGATTTAACGAAGATAATACCTCGGCAAGAAGGGTAATCTTGGCTGAATAGACTTAAACAAACTAGGTTATTGATTCTAAAGCCTTGATGAGACAGACTACAGGTCCTGGTTGTGTGAAGCCGATGTATTATGACCACGGTAATGAATGATAGAGCAAGATAGCCGACATGCTATCCGATATGACGATATAGGTTCCATCACCTCAGGATGCCGAGGTAATAGAACCTAGGGGGCAGTTGTGGGGATATATTTTTTGAGTACCAACACGTGGCCAAGGTGACACCGATGTGTCAGCCGAGGTGCCACGTGTCCTGGTTGTGACGCCGAGGTGATCTCGGATAGGCCGAAGTTATCTCTGAAGATATCGAAATTCGAGATAAGCGGATAAGGGACAAGAGTCCTAGAATGAGGAAGGGCTTCAGCCTGGATAAGGATAAAGCTCTTAGGGAGTGTATCTTTATCTATTGAAGAATCCGGGATAAGCACTAAGCTAAAGTCCATTGAAGCAAGGCTTCTATTGGGACTATGATTGAGTTAACTATAAAAGAAAGGCACCCCCATGGGTCTAAGGTATGCAATTTATATTCTGAACAGTGCGTTAAGTACTTGATTTATCTTTGAGAGATAGTTGACTTAAACGTCGGAGTGCCCCTGGGTGGACGAACCATTGCCGAAATCTCTTCTTTCTGTTGCAGGTCAATCAGGTGCCATCTATTCTGCCAGTGCTCTCCAGCTAAATACTAAGTTGGCAGTGTGGTTAGAAATTCACTCACACACTTACTATTACCAAATTGGTAAACAACTGTGTTTAATTTTTTCACAATCCATTTCTGTAGGTCTCCTCCTATAACCCCATCTAGAAATGTTGGTGTGGTCATCCGTGATGAGTACGACCTTAATGTTATCCGTGTTCGTACTGTAAGTACAAAATCAAGTCAAATATTGTATGTATTTTATTTATATAAGATTTTTTTAACCTTTTGAATATTTTACTTATATTTGTTAGGCAAAAGAAACAGAAAAAGGTTAGCCCAATGTCTAAAGGCAAAGAAAAGATGGCTCCTTCTGGCAAGAGAATATCAAATGCATGTCAAGTGGTATATATTCTTTTTAAAAAATATGATGCAAAACTAATCAAAATTTCGAATAGTTAAAAGATATGAGTGTATAAAATGAATTTATTGTTTTATGTTGTTTTTGTAGAATGATTGTAATATGTTTTCCTGTAACTTGCCATTATTTGTATGTGTTTTTCAAATTTATTTATTTTTATTTTGCATGGATACATGTGCATTTATAACGTATCATCCATAAGTTGCTACTTATATAAAGAGAATAGGAAAAAAGAAACGAATGAATAAATAAAAAATCTATAAAGAAATGAGAAACTAAATAAGATAAGTTTTTAATTCTTATTTAATATATAAAATAGAAAAAAAAGAAAGGGAAAGGGAAGAAATAAGAAAGAAAGAAATAAAGATAACACTATTAAAGGTATAAAACAAAATTAAGAGAAAGGGAAGAAATAAGAAGATGGTTTTATTTTAAGCACAAAATATTCACATATTTTGCATCAATTATAAAATATTTTCATTTTTGGCAAAAAATGATAATGTAATATCAAAAGCTGCATTGGCCTAACGTGCACGGCGAGCGCGTGAAAAAATTGAAAAGTCATACTTTGAATTTCAATGCTTGCAATGAGAACAAGAGGGATTAGAAGAATGTGTTTAACTAAGACAACGTTCTTTAACACCAATTCGTCGTGATCGCACTCGCTTGGAGTGGGAAACAATAACTGAAGATTCTCATTTGGCACAAAAATGAATAATGGCTACCCATCATTCTACATGTTCGTTTTCTATGCCAAGCACATCTTTAGTTCCACAAAGAAATCGGTAAACTACTGTGTCTAATCTTGAAATACATACTTTTACTTATACCGTTTTGTTTTACAGAATTTTATTTATACACAAATATTCGTAGGGTTACTCCTATAAATCGATTTCTTCAACAAGTTCTATGTACTGATGATGAATTAAAAGATATGCCTATGAGTACATCAATTGACGCTCGGGTACACAAAGATTCTTGCCGCCATTATCTTGGCAAGATGGATGTATTATGTCCTTATTGTTCAGCTTTACATTGGATGGATGAAAAATTGACAAAATCATCTATGGAGCGTCCCTTATTCGGAACTTGCTGTTTGGAAGGAAAGATTAGGCTACCTTTACTTATCACACCCCCTCCACCACTTCAAGCATTGTATGATGGGAATAATGATTAATCAAAATCCTTTTGAAGTTATACTCGAGTGTACAATGCAACCAATGCTTTTACGAGTCTTGGTGCTATATTGGATCCTAGAGTACTCAGTGGAAGGGGCCCTACATCATTCACAATTCATGGGGAATTGTGGCATCGAACAGGATCACTACAACCACAACCAGGGCAGGATGTGAGTTATGCTCAATTGTATATCTATGACCCTTATTCAGCTTTAGAAATTTGTAATCGTAGAAATCCTAACTTGAGAAAGGATGTTTTCAAAACTATTCAGGACAGTTTGTTGCAAGTCAATGCATTTATAGATAAATTTCGCTAGGCTCATGCCATCTTATATCAATTAGACTCGGCATGACACAATCTACCTGCTCATTTTCATTACAATTCAACAACTGATCGACGTCGGTATAATCTACCAACTACAGATGAGATTGCAATTGTAATACCAAGTGATGGAACAGAGGTAAATGGAATGAGAGATATAATCTTACATTTTCGAGAAAATAATGAGTTGATGCAAATTAATGAATGTCACTCAGCATACTTGCCATTACATTATGTTCTATTATTTCCATATGGTGAGCTTGGATGGGAACCTGAGTTAAAATTGTGGAACGTTCAGTATGATCGACCTTCAACTGATCGACTAACTCAAATGGATTTTTATAGTTATCGTTTATTTGAACGACCCACAGAGTATTCAACAATTTTGAGAGGTGAAAAACTATTTCAAGAGTTTTTGGTGGATTCTTGGGCTGCAACTGAGCAAAATCGATTGACATACTACAAGATTAATCAAGGGAAACTTTAGGTTGAGCTTTACCAAAAGTTGTCAGATATGGATCTAGATTATGTGCGACCTGGTCAAATTGGCAAAAGGTTTGTTTTGCCATCTTTATTTACTGGTAGTCTTAGACATATGTTTGAAATCTTTCAAGATTCAATGGCTATCACACGATAAAACCAACACCTAGATATTTTTCTTACCATGACCGCAAATCCCAATTGGCCAGAAATTACTTCAGCATTATTACCATATCAAAAACCTATTGATCGTTCTGATTTAATTGTTCGTGTTTTTGAGTTGAAGAGAAAATGTTTGATGAAGGAGATAAAAACAAATAAAGTGTTTGGAAATAAAGTTGTACATATTTTTACAATTGAATTTAAAAAACGAGGCCTCCCTCATATGCATGCACTTTCATTTCTTAAGTGTCTAGACAAAATTCGGACATGTGCTCAAGTAGACAAATTAGTCTCTGCAGAATTTTCAGACCCAAAAGATGATCCTATGCTTTTTGAAACTATCAAATGTTGTATGGTACATGGACCATGTGGTGCTCGAAATCCGCAAGCACCATATATGAAAAATGGTAGATGCACTAAGAGAGACCCTCAAGCTTTCACAGAAATAACAACTATGGATCAAAATGGATACCCTATCTATCGTCGTTGCAATAATGGTCAAGTACATACTGTGAGGGAGCAAGAAGTTGATAACAGGGATGTCATACCATACAATGCATATCTTTTTAAACTTTTTAACTGTCATATAAATGTGGAAGTTTGTGTCGGAATGAGATGTGTCAAGTATATACATAAGTATATTTATAAGGGTTATGATCATACAACGATGGTGTTAGGAATGATAAATAAGATTCAACAATATCTTAATGCAAGGTATATTGGACCTCCAGAAGCTGCTTGGCAAATATTTGGTCATCCTTTGCATGCAGAGATGCTAACAGTTGTACGATTGTCACTTCATTTACCTGGAATGCATCGCGTTGTTTTTAACCCAGAAGAGTCATTAGAAACGATTCAATCTAGAGCTGGTCAACACATGTCAACTCTTACTGGCTTCTTTGCATATTGTGCTGCCAGTGAAGATGAATGTCCATTCACTTATCAAGAATTTCCACAACATTTTGTTTGGCTCAAGTCAAAAAAGAGATGGAAATCATGAGAAAGGGGATATGTAATTAGTAGAATGTACTTTGCTAGCCCTAATTGTGGTGAAAGATTTTCTCTGCGTTTGATACTAAGCGTTGTCAAAGGACCAAAGTCGTTTCAATTTTTACGCACGGTCGATAATGTTGTGCATGATACATTTAAATTAGCATGTGTTACAAGGGGGCTTTTAGAAGATGATGAAGAATGGATACAATGCTTGAAAGAGGCTGCAGTTATAAAAACTGGATATCAATTGAAGAGATTGTTTAGTATTATTCTCATCCAGTGTTCTCCACTAAATCTTTGTGCATTATGGAATCAATTCTCAATGCATATATGTGATGATTTTGCACATAAGATTCGTACATTGTTTTCCATTTCTAACCCAACTGAGACACGAATTGAAGATTATAATCTCTATCTTTTGAATCAAATGCTTCATGAATCCGACAAAAGTTTAATTGACTTCCCACTCATGCCACAACCTATTGGAAATTGGAGTGCGGTAGTTGGTAATTGATTGATATTCGAACATCAAAACCTGCAGAGTGAGGCACAATATGTAGATCCACAAATTACAATTGATTGTCTCAATAATGGACAGCGGAATGCTTATGACACAATCACTTCTTCAGTTTTTCAAAATAAAGGAATTGTTTTATTTCTGAATGGGGGTGCTGGAACAGAAAAAACATATCTGTACAATACGATTACATTAAAATGTCGCAGCCTTGGGCATATCGTTATTACTGTGGCTTCGTCTGAAATTGCATCATTGTTACTGGTAGGAGGTCGCACTGCACATTCAACATTTTCCATTCCGTTAGATGTCCTGGAAAATTCACTTTGTGGATTTAGCAAACAATCATTACAAACTGAGTTATTTAGAGAAACAAAACTCATAATTTGGGATGAAGTTCCTATGTAACATTGACATTGTGTTGAGGCGGTTGATCATACATTGAGGGATATTTGTGATAGTGAAAAGCCATTTAGGGGTATTACTATTGTTCTTGGTGGAGACTTTCGACAAATCTTACCAGTTATATCCAAAAGAGTTCGTGAGCAAATTTGGAATGCATCATTAAGACACTCTGTTCTATGGAAGCATATATATATATATATATATCTTAACTTTGGATTTGAATATGCTCTTGAATCATGAAGGCCATAAATATGCTAATTTTGCAAATTTCTTGATGGAGGTAACACTACTTTAACCTTTTTCCTTATTATATAAATTATTTTAAATTAATAAATTGTGTTTACATTCTTACTTTTTTATTGATTTCACTTTTTTTTAGATTGGGACCAATACTCAAGAAATCGTTAACCTTTCATCAACAATACACAAATGTCAAGATTTGAATGAATTACTCTCTACAGTTTATCCACAATTGAATATGATAGAGACGTCAACCCCAACATTTTTAACTGAACGCACAATTCTGTCTGCGCGTAATGATGATGTTAGTGACATTAATACTACTGCGTTGAATATCTTTCCAGGGAGATTATATACTTATCTTGCAGTAGATAAAATGTCTGAAGATAATGAAATTGATCCTACCATTACAAATAGATATCCTAATGAATATTTAAATTCATTGGATCTTCCTGGACTACCAACTTTTAAGTTAGAGTTAAAAGTGGGTTGTCCTATAATATTGTTGAGAAACATTGCACCGAAAGATGGACTATGTAATGGTACAAGATTTATGGTTACTAGGTGCGACACTCGCATAATTGAAGCTCAAATTTTAATTGAAGAAAAGTTTGGCAATTTGGCATTCATACCAAGGATATTTTTGACACCATCTTCTTCAGAAACGCCTTTCCAAATGATAAGACGTCAATTTCCAGTCCGATTGGCATATGCCTTGACCATTAATAAATCTCAAGGACAATCTGTGAAATTTGTTGGGGTTGATTTGTGTATATTAGTGTTTAACCATGGGCAATTATATGTGGCATTGTCTAGATGTACATCCTTTGATTGTATGAGTATTCTCCTCCCTAAATATAGTTTGGATTCTACTACAAATATTGTTTATCCTGAAGTGTTGTTGTAGTATTCTATGTAGATTAAATCACGTTTTATCAGAAGGTAACCATGTAGATTTATTTCTACTGATTATATAACTTTTTATAAAATTTCAATTTAATAATAATTTGAAATATGAACTTTTGTAGGATTGAATCGAAAAATCTATAGAGCTTAAAAAGAGAAATACGACTAGCTTGCTTCGATGGGGATGTAATAAGGTAATTTTAATCTCAAAGTATTTTGATATGTATATTTCCAATAAATATACTAATCTATATATATATTTTTTTGTTTCCACAAATTACTAGATTGTTGTGCATGTTCCTTATTGGGGATACATACAAGTTGATACAAAGACTTTTTGGAAAGTAATGAGGAGCAAGTTTGGGCAAACACATATTTGAAGTCATGTTATTGACACATCTTTTGTAAAGCATAGATATTTTGAAAAGCTTTGACCCACTTTTTGTAAAGTTTTAACCCTCTTTTGGTGTATGACAATATAACTTTAATTTCTGTTTTTTGTTCAGTGTTTACACTTTTTTTAACTGCCTCTTATATTTTGATTTACAATATTGGTGAACATTATAAATCTTATATGTTTGTTTCTTAATTTTCATTAAGATTAGGAGGAGTTGTTATTTTATTTGAGTTTTGTAGAGCGTGTAATACAAGCAAAATTGTTTTAAGTTCTTTAAGAAGAAAAATATTTCAATATATTTTTTTCAGTATCTTTATCAAAAAATGACACAAACTTCACAAATTATTTACAACTGCATTTTAATCTTAAAATTATTTACATCGTGCATTTATAAATTATAATTGCATTTTAATCTTAAAATTATTTTCATCGTACCTTTAGGCACGTGCATATGCTAGTATATATATATATATATATATTGGTTAAGGGTGTATTGAGGGTTAAATAGGTACTTTCATAAATAAAAGGGTAAATTACAAATATATCCCCTGAGGTTTGCTTAAAATATAGATTGTTCCCTGTGGTTTGAAAAATTATAAATATTATTAGAATTTTTTATTTAACAAAATTAATTGAAAAAATAAAATTCATAATTGCTTTCCTATACAATAACAAAATTACCTAAATTATTAATTGAAACATATTTTTAACATCATTAAAAACTATTAATTGACTTGATGATTTATTAATAAAATGGGCGATTTGTTATGAAATTGGAAATCTCAAGGGTGAAATGTAATTTTCAAAACTACAGGAATGATTTGTATTTTAATCAAATCTCAGGGATGCATTTGTAATTTACCCTAAATAAAATTATGGACATTAGCAAAATTAGTTAGTTGACCTAATTGTTGACTAACAAAAGGGATATTTGTCATACGATTTGAAACTTGAAGGGGCGAAATGTATTTTTTAAAAGCTAAAAGGGAAATTCATATTTTAGACAAACCTGAAGGAGTGTATTTGTAATTTTTTTTCAATAGAAGATAAAATATAAATATTTTAAAAATTACATCAAAGCAGATATTCAACTATGAGAGACAGTCTAATACACAACTATAAATGTGATGACCGGGTCTTGTTTTTCTTTCTTTTACTTTCCCATTCTTTCCGTTCTCTTCTCGCTCTCATTGAGTTTGAAAATGTTTGGAGGTTATTCTCAAACAAAGTCCTTGTTTTTGTTTTATTCAGTGTTGAAGTTCTTTGATTCTCGAGGAGCATGAAGTCAAGTTCGGAGTGCCGGGGGTCGAGCCATCAATTTTTTTGGGTTGTTGGGCTAGCCGCACGTGCGGGGGCCTAGGGCCGCACGTGCGGGAAAGGGTTGCACGTGCGGGGTGTGAGGGCGTACGTACGGATTCCAGGGGAAATGTCACGACCTAAACCCGCCCCTATAGGTTTAGCGTCGTAACCGACCAGTAATCCTTGGATTACCAAAGGCCTCTTAACAGAATAACATATAATTAGGGGCTGCGGAAGCAAATAACAATTATACAACATCCATTGAGCTGTGCAGACTTATATGAGACAGAAAAATTTAAACTTTATATACATACAAATACACATCATCATATATATACATATATAAGCTAGACAAAAAAGGACTTAGCCTATTTACAAAATACATAAAGATTTGTCTAGCTGGACAGGAAAACAAAACTTCAACTTATGCACTAAGCCATAATCACTAGACATGTCCGGAACCTCCACGTGAGGCACAGTGGGTTGGCTTGACGAAACAGAATTAGGCTGACGCCGCTAACTTTGAGCCGGTACTTGACCACCTACATATATATAATAAACTGTGAGCTGAAGCTCAGTGAATAACGAATGTGTAAAGGGGTTAAGAATGGATGTCCTTTCAGTAATTAAAACAGTCAATTGCACCTGTAGATCAGTTATTCAATCAATGTCTCATATTTCATGTCATATCAGTCATTTAGAAATCATAGCAGTCATGCGTGGTACATCCAATAGTAGAACAGTACAGTAGGTCTTAATAGACCGAACAGCCAGTTGATGGTCATCAAAACAGTAAACAGTAGTAGTTCCAAACATTGGAACTGACAGAGATCTCTGTAATAGTAGCAGTAATGGTAGTAGTAACAGTAGTAGTAACAGTCAATTGTTATGGATGCCACGAGTACAATTCGTAAAATAGGACAAACATTCATTCAGTAAACAATATCATTTCAGAAAGTAGTACAGTTAATCATTCAGAAAATAATTGTAATTGAACATAGCTTTACAACATTGTTACTCACATTGGCTCCACTAGCAGATCAGATAATGCAGACAATTCAGATCGATCAGGCGAACGATAGCGCGTGGCCTATACAAACCCATAACATAAACACATCGAAACACAATATCAATTCCTTGATCAAACTTGACTTTTCTTGTCTTTTTCTATCTAAGTAGTCCGAGATCCTACTACGTGTATTCTTCCTTTATTCAAATGAGTCGGATTCTTATTTCACATATCCTT